TATATTTTTGTATTGATATAATAAGTTATTAATTTGCTCTTTAGTTAGTCATCTTTATTTATTATGTTATTATATTTAGAGTATTGCTATTTCCACCCCCCCACTTTTGCTAATGCCACCCCAAAAATTTAAAAAAAGTGCTCTAGAAGAGGTATTGTTATTAAGAAAACCCTACTTTTGATCTTAATAAAAGTTCATCAGGCCTTTCCGGTTCTAATGATAGTAAAATCATTAAAATCGGACTGATATTTTTTTTTTTTTAAAGTAAATGAAAGTTAACTAACTTTGGATACATATATCTTAGGAACTACCGGTCCGACTTTAATGGTTTTACTAACATTAGAACCGGAAAGACCTGATGAACAACTTTTATTAAGATCAAAAGAAGGTTTGCTTAATAACAATACTGCTTCCGAAGCACTTTTTTAAAATTTGGAGGTGGAATTAGCAAAAGTGGGGGGTGAAAATAGCAACACTCTATATTTATTATATTAAATGATTTCAAAAACAAACCTAAGAATAAGGATGGTTAGGTTGGTTTAGATTTAGTATTTGGTTTGGTTTGGTTCTATTTCAAAAAGTTCTAAAACCTGGTTCCTTTAAAATATAATCAGAACTATAAAATTAATTTATATTTTTGTATTGATATAGTAAGTTATTAATTGGCTCTTTAGATAGTCATCTTTTATTTAATTAAATGATTTCAAAAACAAATCTAAGAACCTAAGAATCTAAAAACCTACTATAAACCTAAAAACCTATCATGAACCTAAAGACCTAGGTTCCAGAATTGGAACCTGGTTTTTAAAAACTAGGTTCCAAAAACTAGCTCTTAGGTTCCGAACCTAGAACCTTTACCAACCCTACACACGATCAACATAACCCGGCGCTCTATTTTTAGATTGTTCTGGTCAACAAAAAGTACTTAAGACGAAAAATTTAGCTCATAATACATTTACCATGCTTTAATAGTTCAAGAAAAAAGGAGTCATAAAAGTAAATCGGAACAAGTAAGAATAGCAAGCCCCTTTCTTTTGTAAGATTACTCTTTGTGTGTATTATTATGTTTTGCAAGAGTAATTACTTTTTACATATTGTAATTAGTAGCAAGAGTAATAATTCATTCTTAGCCCATAAAGGGCATAAAAGATATACAATCCAGAGAATTTCTTGAAAAAGATCTTACAAAAAAGATTAATATTCTTATTTAATGAATATATTCATTAACAAGATTCCTAGAAGCCGAAAAACACTACGAATTTGAGGATGGCCATGCGAAAGCTCTTCGAGACAGGCTGACACAAAAATTAGTGCCTATAATCCTCCAGCAGTATTAGGGAAAACGTATGTGTGATGAAGTGGTTATCAAGGCACCACATTGCCTATCAATTGTTCCTTGAAGTAAAAAACGAAGTTGGACCAGGCGGATGCGATCCTAGTATAAAAGAGCTTATATTTTAAGACCACATGATTCTATTTTTTTGGCTTCTTTGATTCAAGCTAATACTCATGTATGTTACTGGAAAGATCGGGGTGGAATAGGTTATCATTCAGTTGATGGTAATGGTAATTTACATCGTTTCCAAACTGTACAGAGATCAGGTCAAATGGCTTTAGTTGCTGATATTGTTGAAAAAGCTATTAATGATGGAGCTAAATTTGGAAAAGGTATAATTGAAAAATCTGGTGAAATTCTAGCTCTTTTAACAAAATTATGTTCCAATTTAAGATGATGATAAATCGGTTAAATTTTTCAAGGATAAAGCGGAAATAAAGCTTTTAACCTAAAGAATGAAGATGGTTGGATTTTACGTGTAATTCATTATTTAATGCGTTGGATTCAGCATAAATGGTACGTGGATTCATATGGTGGCATAACTCAAAGTAACCATGCTCTACCACCGATTAATGTAACTCCGAAATTCCGTTCAAAATATCAACGTCCGCTAATACCTCCAGGATTAGAACAACCAGTGGCTACGCCTATACAACCATTTTATACGTTCACATATGATTTAGATCCAAGAGAACTTCGCATAATATGTCACAGGACCATTTTAAACATTGCTTATGAAGGTTGCACGGTTTCTTGGTTGAATACATGTCACTACTACCACCATCACCTATGTTGAGAGTCGGTTACGTTTCATCTGATTTCAAAGATTGCCCCTTAGCTCATTCAATGCAATCCGTATTTGGAATGCACGATCGTAGCGTAGTAGAAGTTTATTGTTACTCATTATCACCAGATATATCGAACAAATATTGAAATGATTGTCACGCTTGGACAACGGAATCTATTGTCAAACAAATAATTCATGACAATATACATATTCTTGTCAATCTCAACAGTTATACCGCAGGAGATAAGAGCCTTGTATTTGCCACTCGTCCAGCCCCGATTCAAGTAACTCACATGGGGTTTGCAAGCTCTTTAGGTGGTTTATGGTATGTTAAAGGTAGGGTTGCTAATTGAGCACACCATTAACTTCATTTTAATATAGTAGTAACGCTCCAGAGTATTACTATTGTATTAAAATGGAGTTAATGGTATAGCTCCATTAACAGCCTGGTTAACCTAGTTAAAAGATTTTTTTTAAATTTAAATTAACTAATATAAATATTTTATTTATTTTATTAGGACTGATTATAACATAGTCAATGAACATGTATGCCCGGAATCTCAGACCAGTGATTATCAATTTTGGAGTAAAAGTTGTGATTTATTGGGTGAAGTAGATCCTGAAGAGGATGATAAAAATTGAACATATCCAGAAAAGATAATTTATATGTCAACCACTTATTTTATTAATGATCATAAACAAGGATTTTATGAAGATTATCCTACTAAAGGATACTATGATTATAATATTCCTGAACGTATACTTGCAAAAGATCATATGGGGGTGCCAGTAGAAAACAAGCAAATTGTTTCTAAGTAAATTTTTTTAAAACTTTGAAATAAAATATCTCAACAACTATTAAACCAAACTTGATAAAAATTTTTTTA